TGAGTAATGAAATCAAAGCAGTAATAAAAAATCTCCCATCAAAGAAAAGCCCAAGACCTGCTGGATTCACTGCTGAATTCTACCAAACATTTAAAGAACTAATACCAAATATTTCAAAAAATTGAAGCAGAAGGAATATTTCCAAACTCTTTTGACCAGGCCAGCATTAGCCTGATATCAAAATCAGATCTAGACACAAAAACAACAACAAAAAATCTACAGGAAAATATCCCCGATAAACACACATGCAAAAATCCTCAACAAATTACTTAAAAAACAAATTCCACAATGCATTAAAAAGATCATTCACCACCATCAAGTGGGATTCATCTTAGGAATGCAAGGATAGTTCAACATGTGTGAATCAATAAACGTGATAGATCACCTCAACAGAATCAAGGACAAAATCATATATGATCATTTCAACAGATGCTAAAAAAGCATTCAGTAAAATTCAATATCGCTTCATGATAAAAATCCTGGTAAAAAACAAAGTGGGTATAGGAGGAACACACCTCAACATGATAAAAAGCCATATATGACAAGCCCACAGCTAATATCATATTGAATGGAGAAACATTGAAAGCCTTTCCAGTAAGATCTGGAACAAGACAAGGATGCTCTCTTTCACCACTTTTTATTCAACATAATACTGGAAGTCCTAGCTGGAGCAATTTGGCAAGAGAAAGAAATAAAGGGCATCCAACTTGGAAAGAAAGTCAAATTATTCGCATTTGCAGATGACATGATCTTATATTTAGAAGAACTTAAATCTTGTGTTCAGAGACAGAAGCAACATAAAACAATGGACAAAGGAATTCCTCAAGATAGCAACTATAAAAAATAATTAAGGAATAATCAAGAAATTTATTCCTCAACAAGAACAAGGGGCATCCTCACAAGCATTGTTCACATCATTGTTATGAACCAACGATCCTTCTGTTTTCAGCTCTTTTCTTAATGGAAGATATTATTGTGGTCACGGGATTCAAGACATGCTACACTGTATGTCCCCTGGCATGTGTGAAAACAGTGGAAGCAGGAAGCTCTCTCTGATTTTTTCTCACTCCTTCTCCCCTGAAGCCGTCCATAAAACCTAGCAGACCTTTCCCTGAAAATAGGTCCTAAAACTCCATTCCAGAAGGGTTCTCCCTGTACCCAAAGGGAAAGAATGTCCTCATCTCTGAAGACACAGAGACACCAAGAAAAATATGAAAAAAACCAGACCTTGCTAAGTCCCCCTTTAGTTTATTACCATCAGGCCATACCCCCTAATCTTCTGCACAGCTGTCCACTCTTCATCAAACATGACCATAAAAATACTCAGATATCCCTATGTCTTTGGGTCTTCATTTCTGAAGACTCCTGTATCATGTAAAACTTATATAAAAATAAATCTGTTATGCTTTCCCCTTGCTGGTCTGTCTTCTGTTATGGAGGTCTCAGCACGAACCCTGCAATGCGTGAGGAATTTTCTCTTCAGTACAGTGGATATTCTGCAGCGAGTGGCTACTTCCAGAGAATCTTTACAGAGTATTAACTTCTGATCCCCATGGGAACCATATATTAATGTTTATTAGAATGCAATGTCTACAAGGAAAACATCAAAGCTTAATTATCACATAAGTAAAGCAATAGGGGCCAACACAGTCTTATAGGAATATACCTTAAAAATCCTATCACTTTTTAACTTTGAATGAGGACCATTAAGTAGCAAAAAAAAAAAAGTGTATAAGTAGCCAAGCTGGTGTTTGTTCCTAATTTAAAATCTTAATTGTGTTTCTAAAGATGAAGGCCTCACCCGAGAAGGTGCAGTAGGTGCATCTACTTATAGATAGAGTAAAATGATAATCGTAATTACGTTTAGAAGAATAAAAATCCACGTATTTCTCAGCCAACAGTAACTGTTGACGATGTTATTGAAAATTTATTTAAATATTGGAAGTAAAGATCAGTTTCCTAATCCTAAAAATATCTCCTTGTACTTAGAATACAAATATAGAAAAATAATTAAATACTAAGTTAGCTGTATTTTCATACCAGTAAATATTAGTGATAAAAAAAAATCCTGTTTGGAAATAAATAGTTACCATATCATTGATGGCACGGTATTAGTTTGATAGAGGTGCAATAACAAAGTACGACTGACTGGGTGATTTAACAACAGAAACGTGTTGTCGTGTAGTCCTGAAGGCGAGAGGCATGAAATCAAGGTGTGGGCAGGACTGGCTGCTCCTGAGGACTGTGAGTAAAGGATCTGGAACAGGCCTTTCTCCTTGGATTACGTAAGAGATGACTGTCTTCTCGGTTTCTGTTTACACTGCCTTCCCTTCATGTGTGCCTGTCTGCATGTCTAAATTCACCTTTTTTATAAAGATGTCAATGAGCTCTGAATTAGGGTCCACCCCAGCGCCCTCCTTTGAAGTTGATCCTCTGTAAAGATCCCACTTTCAAATAAGAACACATGCTGAGGTACTGCGGGTTGGGACTCCAATACACCTTTTTTGGGGGTGGTGGGAGGGAATACGTAATTCGACCCATAAGTACAGAAGCCTAACAAGTTTCTGTGTCATAAAATCCTAATTTTAATGGATAAAATGGTAATAAGTAGATCAAAAAGCATTTTCCATGCCTTTATGACATCCAAACCATTGATTTCAATTCCACCTCCTCCAGCCTCTCTATTCCTGACTAACTTGGAAATGTATGGAGTTCCTTCTTCCCGAATAACTTGGAAATGTACTGAGTTCATTTTTCCTTCTTAGGAAAAATCTAGAAGATGTAGGGCAAATACAAATTAAAAGACAAAAAGAATTTCTCTGATGATAATAAAGAGAAAAAAAAGCCCCTACCCCTTTCCTTTTCCCTAGAGCACTTCCTTTAGCAAACCTGTAACTCTAAATCCTTTCTGTCACTTCAAGAAAAATGCAAATCTTTGAAAACCTAAATACGCCTCTAGCCAGTTTTTCCTTCCAGGAAAAACTTTCCTGGAAGTCTTTCTTGCAGTCTTTCCTGGTCTTTCTTGCAGGCCTTGGAGCTATGTGTTTGAAATGAGAACATCAGGGAGGATGGCAAGTGTGTCTCTGTCTCTCTGGGAGTTTAGCATAGGTGCCTGGCCTTAAATTGTATCTTCTGGTTTGCTGCAAAGATATGAAAAGTTTCATTTTTTTCATTTGGATAAAGAGATACATGTAATTGACAGACAAGTATGACTCATATTGCTTTTCTTTTTCTCTAATGCAGTAAACACACAACCATGTAGACACGCACACTCACAACTACTGTATCTTCCACAATTACGACTTGCAGCAACAACTGGCTTGGAGTGAAACTGAATACACAGAATGAAATGCTTATCGGTGACTATACCAACAAATGTAAAATTTGTAACTATGCTTTCAGTATGATTTATTTGAGTACTAATTATGTGTCAAATGCTGGGCTAAGTGTTTTGCATAGGTTATGTGGTGGAATCTGTATAATGACCCTATTATTTAGCTCCTATCACTATTTTCCAGATGAGAATCCCAGAGGTATGGATGTGCAAATAATTTATCCAGGTTCCTTTCCTCAAGAATAGTGGAGAATTGAACCAATCTGACTCCAGAGCCTGGCTTCTTCATCACAAGGTGACTCTGCCTTGCTTGCTGTGAAGGAGGTCGTACGACATTGTGCCAGCACTGGTTCCAGCTGGATTTCTAGTCACTGAGTTTGCTGTAGACGGCGTGCCAATTTAGCCCTGCTTGCCACCCTTTCTTTGTTGTTAAAGTGATGCAGCGTAATGGAAATTTTCTATCCTGCACATAAATGGCTTTAAATTTCCTTTACTGAATTGACTTGATATCTGTAATACATGATCTTGAAAAGTCATTTATTTAACTTGTCTCAGACTCAGTTTCCGCATCTGAAAGCAGGGCAAAACAATAATTTCCCTATTCCCATAAAAGAGTGGGTAAGGGTCTACTATCACAGTGTACGTGAACCAGCTCTGCGGATGGAAACCAACAAACAAAAGCGCAGAAACAGCCTTACTGCACAATGTGTCTCCCAGCAATTAGGGCAGAGTCTCACATAATATGTAATCAAATAAAACTGTTAAGTAAAAGAAAGAACTAATCAAAAGTATTTAAGGCATCATTTTCTCTACCTCTTTATAAACAATGAAGACAGCAGAGATTTAAGACATTTTTACATGTATAAGATTGAGTCACTCTTTTTCCCTTTAATATCCAGTTTTCCCAGTATACTGGTATATAGTATTCAGTTAAAGCTGAATACAAAAATCATCTACCCCCACACTCAGCCTGGACACTGAGAATAGAAACCAAATCTTTCTGTTCACATAACATGACTTTGCAATTTCACTGTCTCCACTGGCATTATCCTGACCTCTTCCCAATCCTAATCAAATGCCTGCTTGGAAATACCCTCATTAAATCAAATTTCCTACTCTTTGTAAATTTGAACCTTGTTTTCCCTCCCCCTCTCCCCCAAGCATTGTCAAAACTCTCTTGAGGAGGCATCGCCCTTCCCTAGGGAAGCAATAAACTTGGCTTTGTCTCAAGTTGTGACATTTGGGAAGTCAGCTTTCAACAAAGCCTATAGCTTTTCCAAGACCTTAAGGATTTTTGGAAACTGCAAAGCACTTTGTAAATATGGATTTCATGACATAGAAAATCACTTCTAACGTAACAATATAACTGACATTGTAAGTTAGTATATACATTTCTGTTGCATTTATTTTCTAAATCATATTTTAAATTTACGATTAATAATGATAGAACAAAATTATCTGTATATTTACTAGTGATAAAAATGGTTCAAATCCACCAACTCACATTTTTTTAACAAAATTATAAATTAGGATTTTATTTCCCAAATAAGAATTTGAAAAAGCATTTTTGTTTTTACTACCTCATAAGATAGTAAAAATAAGATATTTCCATGGTTATTCTTTGAACCAAAATGGTTAAGTCAAACTTAATAATGTGAAGTCTTACCTTTTCGAGTTTTGAAAGAGCAAGAGAATAACAGTCTTTGGCTCTGAACTGCATGAATCTCATGTTGGCTGGATGAGTAAGCTCCGTAATAATACTGAGACTGGAAAACAACCTACATTTAAAAAAAAACATTTGCATTACACAAACAATCCAATATGGTATTTTTTATAACAACATCTTTATGAGTGAGTGATTCCTAGCCTTAGGCATAAAACTGTATCCAATTACAGCAGCAGGCAGTGCCACATAAAATGTTCTGTACAATGCAAGAAAAATGAAACACTATCTTCCAAAGACTATTTTAACCAACATTTTAGCACAATAAGAAAAATAAATTCAGTAATTTGGTTTTTATTAGACATTTCCTCTCTATAATTATCAAACAGCATAGAAGAGAAACTCAAGAGAGCTGATTTATGGAGTTATAAGGTTCCTCTGTGGATGAAACTGAAACAGAAATTTATGAGATAAAAATGCCGATTGGCAAAAATTTCACATGATGAGTTTCTTGTCCATTATGTGAGCTCTCTGATGTTCCATGGCTCCCTATTTTCATAGTATGCGATTTTTAAATGTCAAATCTTGCTACCAAAAATTCCTTAGAAGAGGAAATAATTTATATAAAATTTCATGGTAATGAATTGAGGTCAAGGCTACAAAGCATTGATAGTGTTCGTGCAAAGTATCCTGAGAATTTTCACGTCTCGTGGCTTTTCACCAGCTTTCTTCCCATTTGACCCCCACCCCCAAATATACACACAGACACGCACACACACACACAGGCTCACAGGAGATTTTTTTTTTCCCCAGAGAAAAGGGGCAAAATAATACCACAATAAATGCCTTTTTATTTTTGCAGTTGTTGACGACTCGGTCCTTACCTGGTATCTATGCATCACTGGTAGCTTTCTTGGTTCAAATTTTTGGGATTCTCTGTAGCAGCTACTTCCTGTGATACTTAGCTTTGTTTCCTATGTGGTATGTCTCTAAACTAAGTTATAGCCACTTACGATTCCCATCACTAGTTTGGACCCATCCCTTGAACTCGAGGACTAGATCTGACTGAAAATACACAGAATATAAACAACTTGCTTTTGGCTCAGAAACAAATTACCTTTGTGCCTCTCATCTTACCCTCATTCCAGTGGTGAGGGTGTTGTTGCTTCCATGTGCTTGAGTGCTTCATTTGGCACACTGCAAATCAATATGCTTCTTTTAGGGTGGCAGCCCTGTCCATGAACCCCCGAGCTACAGACGACTTCTCGCCTTTCCTTAGGTCTGCCTCCCTCGTGCTGACTGGTGAGCCAGGACTGCTCCTCCCACCAGGAAGAGTGGGCATGCCAGCCAGCTCAGCAGCCTGAGGGACTGCTCCCCAACCTGTGGCCAAAGCTTCCCTGATCACCTGCCTCTCACGTCTGTTCCCACTGGGCTCTAGTCACCAATCCAGTTAAGACACTAAAACATTCTTAAGAACAGTTTCATTCACACTTATCTGTGAAACTTTTATGCCGTCTTGGCCACCTAAATGGACTAGTATTTGGGCCTTACCTAATCCGGGCCTTTGAGAACTATGATATCATCGGGTATTTTGTGAAATCCTCTGTTTATAATAGGAAGAAATACAGCCAGTCTTATACGGCTTAATCTCCATTTTGAGAACAATTATTATTGTATTTTTTGATTTAGGTAAATTATAATGATTGTGATTAAAATAATATCAGCAAAACAACAGTCAGAATATAATTTCTTTTGATTTTTAATGTTAAAAATATCGTAGGTTTATTTGTGCAATTAATCACTGTTTTTCAACAGTTCTGTGACTTTGAATTGGTTAAGGAAATTCTAATTCTCAGATTCTGAAAAGGAGGGTTGTCTTGAAGTTTAAAGATATGGTTTGTGAAACACTCAGCACAGTGTCTGACATGCAGGAGGTACTGCTTCTTAGTCGTGGTGATATTACTAACTCTTTTCCTTTTCTTGTGTTACTATTTCTGCCTGATGTGCAATTTCTTGCCTGGAGACTTTTCTCCTTAATCTCTGTATTTTGAAATCCCAAGTATTATTTAAAGTTGCTATCAAATTCAATTAAGATGGAATTTTTTAGAACTTTAAATGTCCGAATCATTCTCTCCACTTTCACTCCCTGGTATTAGATTTGTACCACTTTTTATGCTCCATCTTGCCCCATCGAGCATTTAGAAAGACAAAGATTTCCTCTCAGTGACTAGTACCACACCTTACATTCCTTTAATTAATAAATCTTTGTTACGATATGCAATTTCTAAATTCTTATTTGTGCATTTGAGATATGTGGTTTAGTAAGTATCTGATATCTGGATGAAGAAGGTGCTGAAATTAACTAGGTTAGTTTATGGAGAAAGACTGGATTATCTATATAATCCCACATGACTTTCCTTAAGCAACTCTATTCTTCTTATTCAAAAGTCACCAATGACAGTAAATTCAATAAATTAAAATTCTTTTTTTTCAGACACTCAAAAAATTAGAAAAGTAGCCTGATGGAAAAAAATGTCAATTTACTATTGAGCCAGCAAACTCCATCTGGTAGGCCTAAGAAATGCCACTAACTGCCAAATCTTGTAACATCTGAAAGTTTAAAAAGTATTTAAGAGATATTTTAAAATAACAATGTCATTAAAGATATTCACCATAATATGGGCTGTCACAGACAATATTCAATCATCTTTGACATAGAAACTAAAATGAATAAATAATAATACCAAAATGAATCAATGAACTCAAAGCCCTGTAGTCTCAATATGTAGTAAATACATTTGGGGATCTTTGTAACAGTGAACGAAAATTTGATTGAGTGCCCCAGTCATTGCATTTGAGTGACTTCTGAAGTCGAAATTAGGACAACAAAATTTATGTGATGTGCCTGCCATTTCTGATCTACGTAGATGAACCTCTACCATTTATGATATTTTAAGCTGAGAAACTTAACGCATTAGCTAAGCCTGCCACCTAGTGAAAATCCAGAGCCAAGTAATACATATTGAAATACTGTGTTGTAGTGCCCTTTATAGAGTATTACTTATATTCAATAATAATATTTTACATTTACAAATTTGGTTGTTGAATCGATTTAACTATGTATCTTTGAAATACTAATACTGTAAATCTATTTCTGCCGTAATATGAACTAAATTAATTTTGAATGTAGAACATTTTGGAAATAAAATGACATAAGTCTCTTTTCTCTAAGTATTAGGGTCATAATAGAGCAATAATGTAATTAAAAATAGTAACTTTTTCTATTTAAAACTTCTCTACAATTACTTTATGTTCTGACTCAGTGATGTAAGTATAATTGTGGAAATGCATAAAATATCTATGGAAGAGTTCTCTGCCTACATTAATTTATTCAATAAATATTTCTGACATGCCCAGTTATGGTAACCAATATAAAGATGAAAAACATACCACATACTCTACTTCACAGGCTACTGGGAGAACTTTGAAACTGGCTGCATTTGTGTTATAGCAACACAAACATAAGAACATCTAAATCTGGAAAATGTTTATAATACTTTAGTTGAAACATTATTTACTGAGCCAATGTGTTACAGTATAAATTTTGATCTGCCCTGGTGGCTGGAAATGACGTGTTTGAATATCAGGGAATGCACATTAACATATCGGGATACAGACACACTGAGATACATGAAACACTAGTTTCAGACTACAATTGACTATCGATACCAAAACAAATGTAAATATATTTTAATCTTTCACAAATAATTTTAAAACACTTTAGGATATCTGAGTTAGTAATAAATGAGAGTATGATAAATATCAAGTATTTAAAAATTTTATTCATGTAAACAATAGCCAATCGGCGTGGATGCGGAGAGATAGGAACACTCATGCACTGTTGGTGGGATTGCAAACTAGTGCAACCTCTGTGGAAAGCAATATGGAGATATCTTAAAGAGATACAAGTAGAAGTACCATTCGATCCAGCAATCCCATTACTGGGCATCTACCCAAAAGACCAAATGATATTGTATAAGAAAGACACCTGCACCCGCATGTTTATAGCAGCACAATTCACAATTGCAAAGATGTGGAAACAACCCAAGTGTCCATCAATACATGAGTGGATTAATAAAATGTGGTATATGTATACCATGGAGTACTATTCAGCTTTAAGAAACAATGGTGATATAGCACTTCTTGTATACTCCTGGATAGAGCTGGAATGCATTCTACTAAGTGAGGTATCCCAAGAATGGAAAGACAAGCACCACATGTACTCACCATCAAATTGGTATTAACTGATCAACACATAAGTGCACATATAAGAATAACATCTATTGGATGTTGGGCAGGGGGGGGGGGGGTGGGGGGGAGGGAGAAGGGGATGGGTATTTGCATACACAAAGAATACAATGCGCACCACCGGAAGGATGGACATATTTGAAACTCGGACTTGGGGCGGGGGGCAAGGGTAACATACGTAACCTAAACATCTGTACCCCCATAATATGCTGAAATAAAAAAAAAAGGGTTTTTCACTATATAAAGGAATCACTCTTATATTTATACATGCTGAGTATCTGTTTTAAATTATATACTTATGTTTATGGCTATATTATTTTGAATTATGTCATTTTCCATATGCATGTGCATGTTATATCCTCAGTAAGACTATGACTTCTTGTGCCAATCTAAAGAGAATATTCTTTCCTTTCAAAAAAAACAACCGAAAAAACAAACAAACAAACAAACAAAAACACCTTGCCCTTTTATGTTATTTTAGTCCTGGCAATGCACGAGTCTCTTACCTGGTCCACTCTCACTTACTCTTTCTTTTCTCAAATCAAATCTCTGCATTGTACCTCAAGTTACCCTTTAAAACTTCTCTATCCTTCAATGATTTCCTGTTATTCTTTTTTTTTTTTTTTTTGAGACAGAGTCTCGCTTTGTTGCCTGGGCTAGAGTGCCGTGGCGTCAGCCTAGCTCACAGCAACCTCAAACTCCTGGGCTCAAGTGATCCTTCTGCCTCAGCCTCCCGAGTAGCTGGGACCACAGGCATGCACCACCATGCCCAGCTAATTTTTTCTATATATATATATATATATATAT